ACTTCATTATAGTTTGGTATTGAAGCTGGACTCTGATTTTCCTGTTGAACTCTAGACTCAAAACATCTTCAGCCATACCACTGTGACACATAGGATGCTAAAGAGAGAAACTACCTTACAGGTACTGTGGAATCAAAGACCTGACGATCTACTTCAGTTAAAATTACAGCCCAGAAAACCCTGGAGAGCAGTTCCACTCTGTAAAGTATGGGGGTTGCCAGATATCAGAATCAACTTGATGGCAACAAACAAGAGTGCAATTTAAAAACCACTAACAAATTATTATTTACAATCTGAATTACAATAGACAAAAACTTTCTGCAGTTTGTATTAAAGTTCTTTGGGGAAGGCAAACACACAACACACACACACACACACACACACACACACACACACACACACACACGACAAAACCAAAAATCATTCCAAAGCTCTAGGAAGTATAAAAATGATCTGAAGACAGTACAAAACCAGACAACAGACAAAAGGGGATTTAGATAGAGGCACTGCCTTAGGATGAACTGGATGCCAGTTATGAGAACTCTGTCATATCTATTATTGCTAGGTACACAATAAGAAATATGATGTGGCCACTGTACTGGAAAAGTGAACAGCTGTCGTTAAGAAGAGACTAAAAAATTGACTGAGAACCAATCTGACAAATGCCAATTTCTTTTCTTTCTTTCTTTTTTTTTTTTTTGCATTGGGGGCTTACACACGAGGATGAACTACTGCTATTAGTAGAGGCCAGCTGGGTGAAAAGAAATGTTTCTGCTGACAAGTTTCTTCTGGGGGATCCTTTTATAGTTTGAATGAGGTGGGCTACAGAAACCATTTATATTATAATACTAACCACCAACCCCAAACTGGAACCTCATTGCTATTCCGATAAGGGGATGAAACAGTGCATTCACAATGCCTTCTGGTGACACCCTAGCTATCTGTGAGGGCAAAATTACCCTCCACATGGGCCCCAAGGACATGGGGGAGAGCCTGCCTACCTACAGCATGGCAATTTTTGGAGTGTTAACTTGTGTCCCTTTACTGATTTGGGGCATAGCTTTGTAGTCATGAAACTTGCTCTGCATATCTCAGAGAGAGATTTAAGAAATATATGGGTAAGTCAAAATATACTGCTGTAAACTCATGGGCATGCTTACTAAACAAAAATATTAAAATGTGAAGCTAGTTGTTTTTTGACATATCTTCTCTCTGGATCTATGTACCTCTGAAGGTGGTATTTCCATCTCTAGAATCCTCTCCTAAGGAACTTGGCATGCTTTATTATGCTTTATTATGTTTGGACATCCCTGAGGATTTAAAAGTTGTATTCCTTTCAAATGTTCTTAGAGTCTGGGGAACAAAAAGAAGTCCAAAAGGCCAACATCAGGTCTTAAGTGTGTGAGATAAGGTTTCCCCAAAGAAATTCTCATAGGGCAGATCTTGCTACCCTTTAATGATGAGCAGGTATGCTGTTGTGATGGGGGCTGGGGGGAAGGAAATTCCTCAGCAGAACTTTCCTGGCCACCTTCTTACTGATAGTTTTCATTTTAAAAACTTCTTCACAATGAAGTTTCCATGATGATCCTGTATGCGGCAAGAAAATCTATCAAGATGACTTCCTTAGAACTAAAAAAATACAGTTGCTATAATCCTTCTTAGCTAACCACTTGGCCTTCAATGGAACTGGCCCAACAGATCCCTTAAGAAGTCATGGTTTGATGGACCTTTTTAAAAGGTATCCTACCAAGTCGAAGACAAGTGTATTCCTGAGAGCACTTATCTGCAGCTATCCACATAGCATAGACGTGTTTAAACACGTTACATTTGGAATAAGCCCATGCATGCATGAACTGGAACACTAGTTGCAAGGCTTTTTTTTACTTAGCCTTGTATTGCATTTGTTAGTTGTTTACTAATCTGTTTTACCCCCACCAGATTCTGAGCCACAGATCGTAGCCATCTTTCCATGATTCATTCATCATCCATTTATTGAGTTCATATGAGTGCCAGGCACTGCATATGGTAAGGAATTAATTAGCTAAGTGACTCTGTGGCCCTGGGTAGAGAGGGTTTTAGGTGTCTGTTTTGATTGCATGTACTTCACTTCTCAGAAGAAAGGTTTTTGCCTTGTTGAGCTTCTTATTTTCTATGTGGGCACACCAAGACAATCCTTGTTGTCACAAGCCTTAAAATAGTATTTGGAGAAAGAGACATTCTAGAAGAAGAGATGGGCAGAACATTCTGAGCACCAAGAAGCACTGAACTGAATTATAAGTGAGACAAGCCAACCATTGGAATAAGCATGTCAAAAACAACAAAAAACATTTAGCTAGCGTTATTTCAAGCTGACAGATTTTCCACTTGTGATCATCAACAATCTAAATTAATGAGATTATTATGTCTCCTGACTATATTTTCTAGCCATCACCTAGAAAAGCATCTCTGAAATAATTTTTCTTATAAAAGACAGTTTTACCTGGCATATATGCAAAGGAGGCTCTAGAATGATCATTATTTCAGGAAAAGCTTCCATAATCAGTGTGTCAAAAAATATGGGTAAAATTAAATCCCAGCACACATTTTTAAATGTAGCCAAATAGTGCATATTTGAGCACCCAGTGGGTAGAGTAACTGCATGAATTTTGCAGTTACTCATGATATTAATATTTACTAATATTTGTGGTAATTAAATCAAAATCTGTATTTTAGCCAGACCCATTACCTTTAACTTATATTCATCTACAATATATTTTCTTTTATAGCCCATACTTACTTCACATTTTCATATATTTTGCTATGCATGGGAAAAAAGTAATTGCTTTTAAAGAAAACTAGAAACTTCCAGTTATTATACTAAACATGTTTAGTGTTAATAATGAATTTCTGTATACCTTCTATATATGCCATTAGGTAACACATTAAAGGCTAGATGAACTAGCAACTAGGTATACCCAAGCACACTGGATACTTGTAATCGAATGCCTAGCACATCTCTATACATTCATATACTGAGAAATATCCATATACTAAAATGTTTTCAATGTAATTCCAGATTTTATAGAATGGCATATTATATCAAAATAATTTATCAAAAATGCTTATTATCTACTCACATGGCTAATCAATCCTAGCTACAAAGACAAACTCATACAATTGCAATGTGTAAGTTATTTTATTTTAGAGATCCAGAGTCATGATAAATTCACGAGCCCCAAAATAAATTAGAGAATAATGGTGAACACATTGGGGGAATTTTTAAAATTATAATATATCATTCATAATAACAAAATAATGCCACTGCCTAGAACTTAAAAAAATATTTTATAATACGTTTTATTTTACTAGAAATTACATATGGTAATACTAAGGAACCTGGTTGCCAATTTGACTGCTAACTTCAAGGCCTGGCGTTCAAACCCACCAGCCAACTGTGCTGGAGAAAGATGAGGTTGTCTGCTCCCATAAAAATTTACAATCTTGGAAACTCTATGGAGGCTTTGTGAGTCAGAATCAAGTCATGAAATGTGCGTTTGGTTTGGGTTTGGGTGGTCATACCACAGCCAGTTTTACAATGTTTGGTTCATTGAAGGTCCCCAAAGTGTAGTTGAACAAATGAGGAAGGAACTTTGTATTCCCACAGGTGTGTTAGTAGTAAACGATCTAGGATTCGCTATGGGGCCTAAAAGACTCGGTAGCCTCCCAACCCTCAGATGATAAAATAACTGCTACAGAATCTTGACCAAGGAGTCCCTGGGCAGCTCCAATAGTTAAACACTTGACTAGGAACCTCAAAGCTGGATGTTTGAATCCACCCAGACAACAAACTTCCAGGAAGAGCGTAGCCATGAAAACCCTAGGGTGCGCAGCCCCACTCTGCATCACGTGGACTTGCCATTAGTCAGCATCAACTGGATGGCAACGAGTCATTTTGAGCTTGACACTTAAAAGATTGGAATTAAATAATTTGAATGAGATTTATTTCTGGATTCCTTCAGCCCTGTGGACCTTCGCTTTCACAGAATCTACATTCTGAGGAGATTGTATTGGTGTTGAGACATGAACAAAAATAGTATGGGGCCTCAGAACACATCTGGTTTAATATTTTTAGTTCAAACTACCCTTAAAATCCAGAGAAACTGCATCTCTTCCCATCTTTAAATAGCTTTAAAAATTCATCAAACAGCCTAGATGGTTCTGTCAAGATCTCCAATACCAAGGGTTGCAGAGGCCTAATTTTGCGGGCTTCAAATCAGATACGACTGACAGGGCAAATTGAAGGCACCACAAGAATATTTTAGTTTGAGTCAAAAGAACAATATATTCAAAGATATGCTTATCAAATGAAAACAAAAATTCTCATCAAATAATTGGCTGGAACTCTTTCCTCTATATACCTCTTTCTAAATGGCCCCTGACTTTTAGTAAAGCTGCCAGTTTATTGTGGTTGATATTTCAATCCACACTGTGCTTCACTGAATGATGGTTGTCACCTTCATGAATATGTATTAAGCTCAAACAGCAGCTTGTCTGGTGGTTCCATGAATTTTCAGTCCAACCACGTTTATTTGCCAACGGATTTATACCTTTAAGGTTCACAGACTGTACTTTTTTGGTTTTTTCTTTTCAATTTCATGTCAGGAAAAAAATAACACTGACTTAAGATAACCAAAGGAACCACTAAATGGGGGGGGG